GAATTCATATTATGCAGTCTTTTCCATTCACTCAATGCTCGCCGGCAACTCGCAATTATGCTCCATTATACTTGCGCCTGGGGGGAGATCCGGTGACTTCCACCCCGCAAGTATAATTTGTCTGAGCTCATCATTCTCCAGCCATCTCTTGTCAAATTTAAAATTCCGAGATCTCCTAGGCTTGTTTCTCAGGATATCAGCTAGTATCGGACGATGATCCGATCCCCAAAGTCTCATATACTTCACTTTGGAATGAGGAAATTTCTCATGCCAATCCTCATTCCCCACAGCCCTATCAAGTCGGCATCTAACTGTCGTCCTCTCTACTCTATTTCCAACCCAAGATAGCATGTTTCCTGTGAAAGGAAACTCCAGCATACCGCAATCACTTAACATTTGCTTGAAGGGCAGAAAAGAATTACCAGGCCGTTGTCCGCCTCCTTCCTTTTCTGTATGGCAGGTAATCTCATTAAAATCTCCTATCATGAACCAAGGTCCATTTCTTGTTGTTGAGAAACGCGTAAGACGTTCCTAGACTAAATCTCGTCTTTCTAGAACAGGGTCCCCATAAACAAATGTCATGTAAACTTTTATTCCATCAATGATTGCCTCAATATCAATCATTCTGTTATTTAAAATAAAACATTAACTTGAAATTTATCCATACAAAATAAATCTAAGCCTCCGCTGAGTCCAAGTGGCTCAACAGTAAATAAACGATCAAATCCTAAGTCGGCCTGAATGTCTTGCAACAGCAGCCTCCTATTCTTCGTCTCAGAAAGAAACACAAGTCCTGGGCGATGTTTCTGACACATCTCCGTAAGGCGTCGAACTGTGAGGTCACTTCCAATCCCTCGACAGAGGTATCCCGGCTTCGTACCCACATTACTTGATGAAGTAATCGGTCTACCTGACTGTCTCTTACTGCCCTTACTCTTCCCAACTTCTACATCCTTACTCGTCTCTGCGCTTAACTCCATACACTCTTCCCCCAAAAGGTCATCATCTGCGTCATCATACACCTCTTGATCCATCCTCGTTTCAGCGTGTGTATCATTTGTTTCCATATCAGCCAGAGCGCCAATGACTTGCTCCTTTTCACCTACAGGTTCATCACTCGTAAAGGTCAAAGCTCGAGTTGCACTCCTACTTCGGATGGTTACGTTATCTTCCATGGTTGATGTTCTTAATGGTGGAGATACAATGACACTAGCCATTTTATTGGTTGAATATCTTGCTTCTGTCGGAGCATCACTACCTCCAATGTGCGCTGCAACAATCCCGTGATTCTTTGCCAAAGAGGCATGCGATACTCCGGACGTGTCTAAAGCATTATCTTTATCTAGGCTGTCGCTAGGTTTTTCAGCCTGTCTCTCCACAATTCTCACTCTATTCTCTGCCTTTTCACGCCAAACTCTATTTGACTTTTGCTCATATGGAGCAATAGCCTGTCGAGTACCATAATGTCGATCATGGTGCCTCTCACTCCGTTCTCTTATGACACGGTCTGTGGATCTGTTATAACCGCTATCACCCATACGCAAATGAACTGAGCCTGTATCATTACTTCTTCCCGCGTGCACCTTACTTTGATTCCGTGAAGTGAAAGATCGAGATGAATCATATGCAGCTGAATGAAGGTGGTCATCTCGCTTGTTGCGGTGATCATAAACTCGATCTCTACTCAGCGAGGACTGAGCTCTAGACGAAGCTTGTGAATCATAGCGTCCAGTACGGTCCGTATGGTAGTCATATCTTTTGCCTCCATGCAGTAAAGGCTGGTCTTGAGCAGGAGAGAGTTGAACTCGCGCGGACGCCCCTCCGCTCCTGATCAACTCTCAGTGCTGCATTGTTGGTCGAACAATATCCCTTCTCATGTGTCATTAAGCCACATAAGGTGCAGTGTTTAAAGAGTAGGTCATACTCAATAGTGATGGTTACTTCCTCATCATCCGGGCTAAGGACCTTCCTCTTAAACTTAAGAGGTTTCCTTGAATCAACATGAATAAGCATTCTACCCTCCGTGAGCTCAATCGTGTCCACGTATCCAAGTCGCCTTCCGATAACTCTTAGATTGAGGTCTGTCCATAGGTGAAGGGGCATCCCAACAAGCCGGACCCAGAAGGGAATTATCCAGGGATAATCATCATGTACTATTAATTTCTATCGCACCAGTACAAACATGCAAAAATTATAGAGAAAAGGACCCTTTGAAAGAACAAAGTTGAGTTCCTCCTCATTAGCAAAGTTCAAAAGGAACTTGCCATTCCCGAGACAGTTTGCTTTCTTGGATTCAGGATCTTTCCAATGAGAGACATCAGGTACTCTTTAATTACGAACGAGTTATCTTGCTCAGTCAATTTGATAGGTTCATCATCATCCTCATCATCAAACGCAACACCCTTGCCTTTACGATCTACTCCATGTAAAGAGTTTGTGCGACTCGAAAACTCCATGTCAACCCACCAATGAGAAACCAGTGATTCCGACGGAGATCAGAATAATGATATCAAACTCGTGGTTCCGACGCCGTATGATTCACTGATTGGTAAACCAAGGTCGATGTTACACTGGAGATTTCAACGTCGTTATGATCCCACACGACCAGATGCCACCGATGATCTCCGTATTGACCTTAGAGGGATACTCGACAAAGATAGAGATAAAAAAAACACGAAACTTGGAGGAGAAGTTGCTGGATCAAGGTATTATTGCAGGTGTTGTAAAAAGAGAGTCCAAAAACAGATCCGACGATACTCAGCACATCAAAGGATGTACGAAGCAATGGAGGTAATTAAGATACCAGAATCACACCATAATCCTTACGTCGGAGAAGTCGGAGTCGGAGAAGCAATGGGGGAGTCGGAGAAGCACAGTCCTTACGTCGATCAGCACCTGTATGCAGAGGAAGCGCAAGCTAATCCTTACGTCGATGCACGTACTGATTAGGAGAAGATCGAACCTTCAAGGAAGACTCGATCTAGAATCGCCATTGATGTCGTCTTTAAGGTTTCCGCCGCATCCAATTTTTTCTTTTTACACAGCGTTTATTAAATCTAGTATATAATTAAAAGAGGGATATTTCAATTTTTCATATTAGATAGAAGGATATACAAGATGATTTCTCTCAAATAAGTCATTATCGTTTAAGAAATCTATTATATTAAAAGAGAAGTCATGACTCACTTCATGTGTGATATTTTAGTTTGGACCATCTTTAAAATTTTATAAAATTTTACATAACATTATAATATCTTTTCATATCTTTAATTTTTTGTTTGAAATACAAATAAATAGTTTTAAGAAAATTCTAACAAAATCTTTTAGAATCTTTTTCAAGATATAGTTTCAAAAATTATTTGATTAAAATCTTAATATCATAAAATATAATTAAAATTTTAATTCATTTTTAATTTATAAACNTTTTATAAAATTTTACATAACATTATAATATCTTTTCATATCTTTAATTTTTTGTTTGAAATACAAATAAATAGTTTTAAGAAAATTCTAACAAAATCTTTTAGAATCTTTTTCAAGATATAGTTTCAAAAATTATTTGATTAAAATCTTAATATCATAAAATATAATTAAAATTTTAATTCATTTTTAATTTATAAACAAAAAATTGAAATTATGTAAAATACTTTTAACAATATCCCAAAATTTTGTTTATGTATTATGTAGGTCCAACTTAATTATTTTTACATAGATTTCAAATTTAGAAATAAAACAAAATATATAAATTAGTAATCTTACATAATAATTAAATTATTACAAAAATACAAATTTATTAATTTTATATTTTTAATATTATAAGTCACATAAAAATGATTATAAATTGGATAGAATAAATAATCAAATTATAGTTATTTATTGATAAATTTTATTATATAATTTTAAATATTTTCGTATTAAAATACCCGCACGGTTGTGCGGGTCGAAATCTAGTCTATTATATTAAAAGAGAAAGAGAAGTCATAATTTCTCTTTATGTGTGATTTTTTTTAAAATGAATTCTTTCTTAGCAAAGTTGTAACCTTATCTTTTCTATTTGTATAATAAAATCTTAACAACCATATTTAATTTCCATTTTCATTCCCTTAATACATAAGAACATCTTAAAACTAACAATACATTTATATAAATATTTAAATATATATTCAACGTTAAAAATATATATTCATAAAATAAATAAAATATGTATATAAAATTGAAAGTAATACCCGCGCGGTTGCGCGGGTAAAGATCTAGTAAAATTTAAACGAAATATTAGAAGTCCGTTGTAATTTGTTCTATATATTTGGAGGCCATGGGAAAATTGCATAACTACCACTTTCACACTACCACTTTTCAAATATACCACAATTTAATTACACTTTTCAAATATACCACTTTCATTTAATGACAAATTACAAAACTAACCCTAACTACTTTCTTTGTTTTTCTGATCGGAGAGTTCAGAACAACGATAGGGTGAAAGAGGAGAGCGCAGGTGGAGGAGGTGCGGCGNTGGGAAAATTGCATAACTACCACTTTCACACTACCACTTTTCAAATATACCACAATTTAATTACACTTTTCAAATATACCACTTTCATTTAATGACAAATTACAAAACTAACCCTAACTACTTTCTTTGTTTTTCTGATCGGAGAGTTCAGAACAACGATAGGGTGAAAGAGGAGAGCGCAGGTGGAGGAGGTGCGGCGGAAGAGGATCTGGTCTGATCGGAGAGTTCGTCGGCGGTGTGGATGAGGGATTAGGGGGAGGAGGAGGGAGCCTGGATTAGGGGGCGGTGGGGATGACTCAGAGTCCTTTGATCCCGTCGAGGTCTCTGGAGAGATCTGTCTCCGGGGGAGGAGGAGAGGCTTCGAATTGGGTCAAGGAAGAGCCTGGAAGAAGATAATCTGAGAGTGAAGGTGGTTTCTTCAGGGGTGAAGAGGAGAGCTGGTGGTGACATTGTGCCCACTGGTATTAGACACTACAGGAGTGTTTCCATGGATAGTGGTTTCATGGGGAAATTGGACTTTGGTGGTGATGATTCATCATCGCTTAAGCTTCAGGTAAAAGCTTCCCCAACTAGTTCTGGTGAAGGGAACTCGAGTGTGGAATTTGGAAACAGTGAGTTTACTGCAGCTGAGATTGTAATGACTGACCCTAAACGTGTTAAAAGGTAAGTATAATATACATGTGAAGCTGTCTCGAGGGTATTACTTCAGTTTAAAGGTTAGAGATTGTTTGCTTGTAGTAAGGACAACTACAAAGCAATTCTGAGTTGTTTAAGAGCATCAGTACTAAGAAGACTTGGAGTAATCTTCTCAGTAAAGGCGCTTGAGGTAAATCAAGTGAAGGTATAAAGATCAGAAGCATGGTAAAATGAAGCTGATGGACAGAGAGAGGTTGCAGTAAAGTCAGGAAGAATCAGTGATGCAAGTACAGAGGTTTTCTGGTGAAGATTGCAGGCGGGTAAAAGGCATTGCCGGTCACAGGACACTGTAACAGAAGAAGTGTCTCAGGGTATTGCATGGTTTTGTGAGTTTGAGACATGGTAAAGAGGTCAGCGAGTGGTAAGTTTGTTGGTTGAAGATTTATTGATGCAGATCAGTTTGAGCAGAAGTTGAGCAGCGACATCGAAAGTCTTCTTATCCTGGTTGAGTTAGGCGGCCTGTCCTGCTATCATCAGCAGCGGTGTAGGGTGATGTTCAAGTCAAACATATTCAGACAAGCAGAGGTGACTCAGTTCTTCAGGAAGTTTCAAACATCATTGGATTCAAGTTTTTTGGCAGTATATTTGGTGATTTCAGTTGCAGCAACAGTTAAAGGTGGAACTTATGGTTTTGTCTCGGTGGTGTTGTTGAGTGGACATCTAAGTTTTCAGGTTATGGAGAATGCCAAAGGAGAATCAGTGAAGACATTGTATGCAACACAAGGTTGTGTAATTCTTGTTTTGAAGCCTAAGAAGACTTGAGAATTTTTAATAGCTCGAGATGGTGGTGTGGTTCACGTCAAAGCTAGAGTTCAGTGAGTATATCAAGTCTGGTTTTGGTAGTAATCAAGGATTTGAAGGCTGAAGTTTCTGAAGCACAGGGGATCGGTTTAAAGATTCTAAGAGGAAGCATCAAGGAAGTTTTCAGGTTGTATCAAGACTGATACTTATGAACGCTTGGAGAAAGTTTTCAAAGAATCATTGGTGTTGAGTGGTGAAGCTCAGGTGGAGCAAGTTTGCTCAGAAGATAAGAAGCTGAATGAGTGTTATTCAGGGAGTTATGAAGCTGGATGGGTTTCGTTCAGGAAAATATGAAGCTGAGAAGGTAATCTCAGGACACAATCCTTCAATACATAGTGGTGACATTTCAGCCTTGTTGTTGTTGTTATTGAGTGTTTGATTTAAACAATTTTGTAAAGGATATTGGCAAACCGTGTCTCTGCTGCACGTTCAAAGGAGCGGAAGACGCAATACATGGCGGAGTTAGAACACAAGGTGCAGACCCTTCAGACTGAGGCCACTACATTATCTGCTCAGCTCACGCATTTGCAGGTGAGAATACACCAACAGGTGAGAATACTTGGAGAAGGGGAACTTCTGTCTTTCTACCTACAGCTACGTATCCCATGTTTCCAGAAAAACTTGCCATGGAAGGAATGAGTTTGAGACAAGAAGAAATATGCAATGCTGTCTCTGTGTCTGTTGTCCTGCGTTCTTCTGATGGCAGGTAACTCAATAAATCATTGCTCTTCTTTCGATTTCTAAT